GCACCTCTTGGGCGCCTTCTTAACCCTGGAAGAGAGTAAAAACTAAAACAAACTGCCTCTTTTGCAATCAATATTGTCTTTGTTTTAGTTTTGCACTTGGTCAATAGTGGGCAAAATAGGGGTTTGTTTCAAGTAACAAAAACCTGCCTTCAAGCGTACGATACTAGCGAAATGCATGTATAGTAATATATCGAGTTAACAGTTTAGCGGGTAAACTGCAGTTCAATGAGTGACTGTAGTTCGGGACGAGGGGTGGGGAGAATGAGGTCGCGACACAGTGTTTTCGGTCGCCCTTGAGGGTTATGGTTTCGGGATTGTGCACCAGGGGTATTTGTGTCGGCGAACAGTTGCTCGCTGTCGGCTGAAGGACTAGGCGATTGCGGGCTGCAGATTCAGAGCCACTGTCCTCAGAATGAGGCATATCAAGGTTCAAAGTCCACAAACACCATCAAAGTGAAAGAGAGATTTCACCGAGTCAGCACGCAAAAGTCGTGACATTTGTCCTGAATGTAGATAAATTATTATAGCTCTCTTAAAAAAGGATAGCTTTGCTGAGTTTTAATACTTCTGATCAGCTTATTACAGATTACTATGCTGTTTACTGAAAAAATTGCGGTATTTAACCGTTCTTGCCATTAGTAGAAAGAAAACGCATCTCGATGATTGGCACGCCAAAAGCGGTCGAGCTATCTCATGGTACTGAGGGGATTAAAAGTACGGCCGTTTAAAAGTTTAAACAAAAAAATAGTTCCTTCTGTAATCTGCGAAGACACAAGAGATCGAGGTTAATAATTTTACAACGTTGTTGGTAGGACAGGTTACTGTGTTCTGATGAGAAAACTCTTTTAGCGAGGAAATGCTGGACCGATTCTATTTTCTTCCATTCCATAGCGCCCAGAAGGCTAAATACAGTCGAGCAGTTTTCAAGACTACGACTTACGTACATATTATAAAGAACAGTTCTAAATTTGATGGTCCTAAAATTGCTGAGCATAAATCCGGTGGTTTGGCGTGCTTTCGAAACAGTCAGGGCTCAGTTATATTAACAGTGCCGTGGTAAGCCGTTCATTTCAGTTATGAGACTGTCTTGAAGCCGTCTCCTCATGCAAGCTATACTATTTAAAGTAGCTTTCCTCGGTTTCACGGGAATCTGTCCAAAATAGCAAAAATTTTGGACAGTAGTAGACACCAACAGCCCTTCTCAAGCACACTATAGTGAGAACTTAGACCTGGGCGTATACTCATTGCATTCAGTTTTGTTTGGACTAACTAAAGGTGCACCAATTCAGTGCAGTTCGGTAATTTGCCTCAGAAAACCCTTTTATTACCCCCCATATGATTCCTTTTGACTGTCTACCTAGGAAGTAATTGCCATGCAAATTAGAAAACAATCAAATGGAATTTGTTCTAACCTTCCTCGTCATATAATTTTCGCGCTTACGATTTGCTTTACCACCCAACAAAGGTGCAGTATTTGCTTGTCTCGTCCGAACTCTGGCACTAAGGCCATAAGTAGAGGGTAATGGCAACAAGCATGAAATGATGGTAGATTTGTTTTAAACAAACTAGCGAACTCAAAGTACGTTGCTGTCTGTAAAATGAAAGGTTAATCTAACTCACGTTATATGCT